CGTCTTCCTATAGCCCCGATATAACGGTACCCCCCGATATTCGGTATTTTGATGATTTTAGCGACATTATTTAACGGAATCGTTCCAAATTTGATATTTGAAGTTCGTAATAGATACTGCTGCATAAAACAGAAAATGGGCCATGTTGGTTCACGTCTTCGTATATCCCCCATATACCGTACCCCCCGATGTTCGGTATTTTGATGATTTTAGCGACATTATTTACCGGGATTGTTTCAAATTTCGCATGTGAAGTTCGTAATGGATACTTCAGCCCATGCCAGAAAATTGTCTGTACAGGTCCACGCCTTCGTATAGCCCCCATATATGTAAAAATACATTTGGAGTAATTTTCAAGTTTCATGTAAAATTTCTCCGCAAAAATATTGTTGGAAAATGAAAATTTTATATTTTTAGAGAAAATTTTTGCAGCGCTAAATGTAGCATTTGTTGTATTTAGATCTTAGATGAACTACAGATTGCTGCATAAATGGTAAAAGTCTTACCTCTACATCAACCACTCATAGCATTTTATATTTTTATACCCTCAGCCATACATCTCTTTGGACCAAATCCATTTTAGGACATTCGGAGTCGATCTAGAGGTGCCCGTTCGTCGGTCTGTCTAGTAACGCATGATAACTATTGAGGGGAGTATTGTATTTGGTCCAAACTTAGTACATTGTAATATTATTATACCTCCCCCACAAAAGGTCAACATCTTGAATAATTTAAAAGTCCGATTTTCTCAAATATCACACATCACAATATTTTCATCAATACAAGACCTGGTGTGAAGATGGAATGCATCAGTCCACTCCACCTGGTAACTCCCCCACAAAAAGATCAAAATTGTTTATATCCACGAAGGACATGAAGATCAAACACGGAAAGCAAAACGCTCATAAAACTCGAAATAGACATCCAACTCTCTTCAAATTCCACACATTCTTGACAAGTAAAAAAGCAGCAAGCCGGGCCGAACTTTTTATACCCTCCACCATTTGGAAGAAACTTGAAAAAATTCCGTCTAAAAATACCGCTCAAATGAAAATCGTTATATTGGGGCAATACGAAGTCGTGGTCCTGCATAAGTTATTTGTGTCATAGGATGTAGTAACGGTCCCGAAATTTATATACCAAAATTTGAAACAATAATCATGAAAATACCGAATATCTGGGGGTACTGTTATATGGGAGCAATACAAAAGCGTAGACCTATTTAGACAATTCTCCTCTAGGGGGTAAAGTACTCAGAAGGATCCCCTTGTGTAGATTTTAAGACAATTACATAAACTAAAATCGTCAAAAGATCGAATATCGGGGGTACCGCTATATGGGGGGTTTACGATACGAAAAAAGTACTAACAAGGAACTCCTTGTGAGGATTTTCAGACAATTCCGATGAAAAATGTGGCTAAAATCATTAAAATACCGATACCGGGGGTCACTGTTATATGGGGCTGTACAATATCGCGGACCTATATAGACAATTCTCTTTCAGGGAGTAAAGTACTCACAAAGAACTCCTTTTGTAGAGTTTCAGACAATAACATTGAAAAATGTGGCTAAAATCGTCAAAATATCGAATATCGGGGGGTACTGTTATAAGGGGACTGTACGATATCATGGACCAATGATCGAACTTGACCTGACTGCAGACAAAAGACAGACCTGTTCTAAATTTTCGTTCCTAGCGCGATTACAACAGACGGACCGACGGATAGGGGTAAATCGTCTTAGAGTTTTACGCTATACGCAATATATACGCAAGAATATATATACTTTGTTGGGTCTAAGATTCTTATTTCGAGGAGTTACAAACGAAATTACGAACTTACTATACCATCCATGGAGTGAAGAACGAAGTCGACGTAGCCCAACCGTCGCAATACTTGTATCATATTTATTTAGGACCGTCAACAGTTTGAATTTTCATAACAGAAGTCAAAATACTTTTTGTACCCTAAACCACAAGGTGGTCAGGGTATTATGTCTTTGTGCAGTTGTTTGTAACAGGCAAAAGGAAATGAGATAGACCCATAGTTCCTCTTGATGATCTGCATAGAATCACATTCTGAGTCGATTGATGCATGTACGTCCGTCCGTCTGTCCATGTATTTTTGTAAACAAAGTACAGGTCGCATTTATTGCCCTATCCAGATGAAATTTTGCACAAATCATTTGTTTGGCCCAAGGACGAACCCTATAGAAATTGAAGATAATCGGTCAAAATTTAGATATAGCTCCCATATATATCTTCGTCCGATTTTCCTTTTATTGTGCACCAAACGTGTAATATCAGTCCGAATAGTATGGAATTTTGCACGTATGATCAGATTGGACCTGAAAATAAGTATGCCAATATTAATCGAAATCGGTTCAGATATAGCTATAGCTCCCATGTATATTGTTTATCCGATTTGTTATTTTTGTCCTCCGCAGCCGTAAGATGCACCCTGCAACAACAATATTTGGGGAAATATATCAAATACAACTCAGAAATACATTTGCTAAATTTTATCGAGATCGGTTCAGATTTATATATATAGCTCCCATATATAACTTCGTCCGATTTACATTTTATTGTAAACCAAACGTCTAATATTTGCCCAAATTGGAGGAAATTTGGCACTTACGACCGAATTGAGTCTAAAAGCTTGTATGTCAAATTTGGTGAAGATCGGTTCAGATATATCTATAGCTCCCATATATACTGTTCATCCGATTTGTCCTATTTGTTACCCACAGCCGAAATATGCACTCCCTAACAACGATATTCAGGGAAATATATCAAATAGAGCCCAGAAATATCTTTGCCAAATTTTATCGAGATCGGTTCAGATTTGGATATAGCTCCCATATATATTTTTATGCGATTTCAAATTAATTGTGCACCAAATGGGCAATACAAGTCCGAATTTAGAAGATACAAATGCTTCGGCATATTTAGTCCTTTGAACTTTAAATTATAATTATAATCATAGCGCGTATGATTGAATTCTCCCATAAAAACTTTTAATTGTTATGCGCAACTCTGCTAAATTAGCAAAGTGGTGTAGGGTATCATAAAGTCGGCCCCGCCCGACTTTAAGACTTTCTTTGGTGGTTTTGTTTGGCTATATCATGTTTCGAACTCGCAACCTTCGGTTTAGTAGTCGGATGTGTACACTTAGTAGAGCATAACTCATTATTTTGTTTACATTTCCCTTTTATGGGCTATTCGAATCAGATTCCAAGTTTCTGCTGGACTATATAACAATTTCAAAATTTTTTTACCAGGTATATTTCTTTTAAAGAACATTCAATACAAAAATTTTTAAATTTGGGTTCATCATGTTAAATTTGGGTTCATTCATGACAAAGTCCCATTTTATGGAATTCCAATTGGATTCCTATGCATGGGACGACATTTGCAATTTTTCTTACCAAAAAAGCAGCAAACACAATAGTCACAAACAACAACATTGACAACAATAATTTCTAAAAAAACACCAGTATGTACAACAATAAGAATGCGTCCACCATAATACATTTTTTGTGCAACCAACCGGTTTCATTCAAACATCAAAACCGTCTTCATTCCCAACTCAACGAAAAATAAAAAAAACGTTGCAAGTCTCAAACAAACACCTTGGCCATTGGATAGAGTGAGTGAGCAAATTGGTCTAAAGCAGCGCCAGCAACAAAAGAACAAAAGAAATAGCCAAGTGCATTTTCCAGTGGCAGTATTATGTGTACATGTGTGAAATGTGAGTAAGTAGGAGGCTGGCATGTCAACACAGTGTTTGTTGTTTTTTTTGTTTGGTTTTATTGTTGCCATATTGCATTGCAAGTGATCTTTGGGCTCTCAACTCATTGACGAGTTCTCCTCCATTGAGTTTTTGTTGGCGTTTGTAAGAACATAGCGGCGGTTTGTTCTTTTTTTGTAGTTTTGTAGTTAACAACAAATAAGAAAGTCTACACAGCCATGTGGAGACTTGTGTTCTATACGCAACAAACAAGTGTGAGGCATTGTGTACGCATTCTCCTTACTTTGCTGTAGTCCTCTTGTTGTGTGTGTACTGAGGGGGTCCAAATTCAGTGTGCAAGAGAGTTAAAAATACCAAAAGAAAGAGAAAGAATCGTCGTTGTTTTGTACTTGTTATTACTTGCCGTAGCCAACCCAAGCAAGTATGACGTACCTCGCGCTACTTCCTTCGTGTGTTTATTATTCGTGTATAAGTGTGTGTGTGTGAGTTTGTTTTCTTTATATCGCGTATCGCATTGTATTGTTTTGGCGCTTCTCGCTTCCAGTGGTTGTCATTTGTTGTACTGGTTGTGTGTTGTGTTGTCTTGTGTCGTGTCGTCGCCATGGGTGCCATGTTGGGCTCAACCATTTCCAATTGTCGTGCTTGAGTAAACATATAGCCAGCCAACAAACGCCATTCGATAGTGTTGCCGCGTCGCGTATCGTTGTCAACATCATCATCGTAGTCTTCGTTGTTGTTGTTCAAATATATTTGTTGTTGGAGTAGTTGTTGTTTTTCGCAGTTGGTTCATTCACACAATTGAAGTATAATTTTGTTTGTTTTTCGTTCGTTTCTTTGACTTATTCAAGACTGTCATCGTTGGCATTTTTTCCTAGAACTGTTTTCGCCATATCTTGGATCTTCAGTTTTTTTTTGAAACGAAAGAGAGAAGCAAATAAAGATAAATTAATTCAGAAAATAATACATAATTATTGAAGTAATAAAACGATGGTGATGTGTAATAAAGTTATGAACAAAATACAATTGCAATAAATACATGCACACAATGTAACATACTTAAATAAATACGTACATAACAAGTAACAATAAATAATGTAATAATGCCAACAGAAATTTTGCTACTGTATTCCAATGAAAATTAAAGCATTTAGTGAAAACAATAAAAATAATAATTTTACTTTCAAGCTTAATTTAATTTTGGTGTAAATAATAAGTGCTCACATAACCTAATATATATGTCTAGTTGGTGAAATGAAATGAAAAAAAGATATATTTAATTACTCTATTTTGTAAAAAAAAATGTAATAATATAACCCAAACTAAATACTTGCTTCAAAGTGTGAAAATATTGCAAATGGAATTATTATCGTTGTTGTGAACAAATTGGATTTTCAAGTGCCAGGCCCAAGAGACAATAAAGGTCAGTATTCACAAAACGTTTTAAAATTAATCAATTCTATTAGGTAGGGTTGTTAAGGATTAATTGACTTTAAAAAGAATTTGCTTGAAATGTGGGTAAAGAATTTGAGGCCTCCAAAATCGGAAAATAGCTTTATAGTTACCTGTTAATAGGTAAAAGTGACTTTGCGTTCGGAAGTGCTTAATTTGTGTATCTTTTAAAATCCCAAAATATCAAATAACATTTGGCTATACGATATTTGGCTGTATTCGGCAACGAAATCAGCATAGAAAAGCCAGAAGTTTGCCACTTGTGTATTTTGTATTGCACCTGTAAGTTATTTTCAGCGTTTCGGTAGAATGAAAATGTCTACTATTTTTCACACAAATTCTACCCACTGTCCTAAACTCCAACTTCATGTGAGGTTTCGTTCCTTTGATCTCTATATGTGACATTTATAACGACTGATCAAGGATCGGACGATAATTGCAATCTGTATATAATAATCTGTATAATAATAAGGTGAAACAAGTAAGCAAAGGCTACAGTCGAGCGGGGCCGACCGTTGAATACCCTACAACACTATAATAAACGATACAGTTTATGTAGGCGAGATACTCGAAAGAATTCCGCAAGATATTGTGACAAATTATAAAAGAAAACCATCAGGTTTCGTTCTCTAATTTTCGAATAATAGCAACTTAAGCTAATTTGCTCATTTCCAATTTATTGGTCGATGTTGCACGCAAATGGTCTTCCTAGATCTGGAACCAATATTTCCCAAAGACCTATAATCTCTCGGAAGTGGCAAAAGATTAACATTTATTATTGGTTTTTGACTGAAACGCATCTATATGAGATACAGACATTTGACTATATTCTTCTACGAAATCAGCGTTAACGAAATAGTCAGAAGTGCGTCTTTCTTGTATTTGTGAATTTTCCAAAAAGTCACTGAAATGGACATTTTCGTATTTTGTCTACAAAAGTTGGCAAACTATTTCGCACATTGAACATTTTTGGATGGCCATCCAAAACTGCTTGGCTTTTGCAATGTCCGGTAACCCCCATTCAAATGTGCGTGAGGATCGGGTGATAATTACGACCTGCTGACAATTTTGCAGTTTTTTTGGTCCATTTCAACCCCTAAATATATGACGACCGTCTCCAAAAAGAGTAGGCTTCTACTCTGAGCCTCATCTTATCCCCATGCAAAATTTCGTAAGGATCGGGCCATAAATGCGATCTGTATATGATATCCTGATATCCTAACTACTTAGTTTTGTTAGCTGTAGAAATATTACCAAATGTTTAATTCAAAATGAAAATATGCCAAAAATATGACAAAATGGAAAAAATATGAGAAAATGTTACAAAATCAATATTTTCATCTTTAGAGAGATATTTTTATGCGATTTTTCTTTCCTGCCAAGAGGCCATTCTGAATTAATGAGAACTTTCGAAATCAGTTCAGCCGTTCTCGACATATATGAGATCTTTCAAGCATATCTTCTTTGATAGACATATATATCGCACATATTTTGAAATATATCCGATTTGTTGGATCTTAACATCAATGTAAAGATCAGAAGTAACCTTGTCATGGCTTTGTGATGATTTAAAATATTCGCGGTTTAATGAAAAATTTTGATTTTTTGTCAACAAAAAAGATATAGTCTTTTTTACCCGCTAAATATTAACCGATGACCACCCAAATTGGTAGGCTTCTTCCCCGCCCTAAACTGTAGCTACATGCGAAATTCGCTACATATATCCGATATATTGACTATAGGCATCTACGTAACGGTCAGCATTGACCTATTCATCTATTTGTGATTTCGCCGTGATTAAAAAAATATTCGCGGTTTAATGGAAAATTTGGCTTTTATTTAACACAAATGTTATGGTCTATTTCACCCTATAACTATTGCCCGATGACTATCAAATTTGGAAGGCTTCTACCCAGCCCTAAGCTCTAGCTACTGCTAACTTCGATTGGTCTATAATTGCGACCAGTAGAGAAACTGCAAAATCAGAAAATTTTTCAGTTTTTGGACCATTTCAACCCCTAAATATTATGCGATCATCTCCAAATAGGCTCCTACTCTGGCCCTAGCTCCACCTCCATTCTATATTTCGTGAAGATCGGGCCATAATTGCGACCTGTAGAGTTATTATTCATAATTACCTTATGAATTTGGTCCAGAAATGGGTCCTAAATTCGCGTGATTTTGCTTTTTACAATTTTTATAAAAAATCAAAACAAATTTGTCAAAAAAGGACAGATTTGGCAACAGTTTGTGTAAGTGTTTCTTAAGCATTGTTTAGACAAATAATTTTTATAATATTATTAGCTGAACCCGGCACGCTTCGCTACTCCTTTCGCTTTTATATGCATTCAAAATTTTATATATGAATATTTGTTGGTTAAAAAATATAAATAAAACAAAATCAAAAAATTAAAACCGTTATTATTATAACGCATACAAGAAGGAATTGTCCTTCGGACTTATTAATTTCATAGCAAATGCCAAGCGTGCCGGAAACTGCAATCTTTTGAATTGAAAGGCATTTCTGTCTGTGCAGGTGCACGTCTTCGTATACATTCGGTATTTTTAAGATTTTAACACAATTTTTAACGGATTTTAGTTTTTTGAAAAGTGCCAAATTCGTTCCAAATGGTGGAGGGCATTCAAAGTTCGGCCCGGCCGAATTTACAGCTATTTTACATGTTTACTGTTAGCCTTATACTATTGCAAAGGCGTTGTGGGTCGTGTTTGGTGCATCAAATATGTGAAATCGGGCGAAAATATATACATATGAGAGCTAAATCCAAATCTGAACAGATTTCCATATAAAATGGCAAATATATTGTTTAATCAAATCCCGTCATATATTCCAAATTTGGAGAATGTATCTGTAATCGATCAATATAATTGTGCATATAAAATCCAAATTTTTGGGAGTTACCTCCGATTCTGATGCGTGGAATTTCAAGTGGAATTTCAAAAATATATATAGCCTATGTTACTTTCAGGCAATGTTGTAGTATACTTGGAAATTTTCAGGAAAATCTGTTCAGCGGTTTTCGAGTTCATAAATTACAAACATTTTCCTCTTTTATAGATATAGAAGACTCTCAAGCTGTATTATACTTTGGTATGTTGGGTTGGTATTATGATCTATATTGAAAATGTTTTACTGAGGACAAAAAAAAAAACTAACTAATTTTTTTTTTTTGGAAAATGCGTGGTATTCTAGTACGGACCAATTTAAAAAAATACGAAATGTGAAATTACCATCCAACAACTTTAAATACAGATTTTGGTTAGAAAATGCAGCGGGAATCTTCAAACTACCAAAAATTAGGTCATACCGTAATATGATGTTATGGCAAATACAGGACCAATATAACAATTTTTTTTTGAGAAGAAATTGTAATCTATGTGAACCTGATATTTCAAATTGCATTTTATTTCGTTAGAATTACGATTAATATTGTTTGTTTAGCTATTTATTTTATAGTGTTGGTCCTAATCCTAATTCTTTTACCGGAATTGTATGAAGTGCCACAATAGGATATACATAGTTTTTAGGTAGATAGGATTATTGTCTTAACGATTTGCTCTCAAAAAGATAAGCTAGTAGAACTTGTGTCGAACTTGGATTGTTCTGGTGTTGAATTCGCAATAACTTCGAAATAAATACTTGCATCAACCATACGAGTCAGGCCTCTTTATCCGCTTAACCAATAACGAAGTTCGTTGCATAGTTACCAGTTTGTAATAGTGTCTCTCTTTTATGGTCCTTTAAAGCCCTCTTAGGCCTACCAGTTCTTTCCTTACCAGAAAGAAACTTGAGAGTGTCCTCTTTTACAAATTACAGCCAATGTGGATGGAAGATATTGCCAATTTGGGAAAATTTAGGAAAATTTGAAATCCCTTCAATCGACTCAAATGTGTTTTTTTCATTTTTTTTTATTAAACCATTTTACCATTTCCCAGATAACTATCCATACATAAAAACTAAATTTTATAATAATTAAAAAATTTTTTCTTATATTAAAATATTGAAGAAAAATCAAGATTAAGACTTTGACCTTAAAATGCTAAAATCAATCAATTATTTTTATGAAATAAAAATTGAAAATAATGCCATTCAAAGGAATTTAAAAAGAAATAAAGAAAATAAAAATAAATCATGCGAAGGGGCTTATGAAAGAGTATCCTATTCTTTCCATTAATTTTAACAAAATCGGAATCCCAAATCTAGATTTGTAGTTGGAGTGTGCATGCCTTACTGACCTGGAGTTGGATTCTTCTTTCACTAAAATATGAAATAAACAAAAACCGATTTTCCTTTATGATATAGAAAAATATTGCAAAACTAGTAGATTCTAGTAGGTTCTGGATAATAGCAAATAAAAGTATTCATTATACCCTACAACACTATGTGTTGAGGGTATTATAAGTTTGATTGGGCCAGAATTTATGTAACACCTCGAAATATTGGTTTCCCACATAGGAAAGTATATATGGATCTTCCTAGCTCGCCGAGCTGAGTCGATCTAGCTATGTATGTCCGTCCGTCCGTCTGTCCATGTTAATTTGTTATCACGCTACAGGTCGCAATTTTGGCCCGATCCTAACGAAATTTTGCACGAAGGTGGGGTTAGGGCCAGAATAGAAGCCTATTTCTTTTGGAGATGATCGCCAAATGTTTAGGGGTTGAAATGGACCAAATACTGAAAAAAAATGTCGTATTTTGCAGTAGCTATACAGGTCACAATTATGGACCAATCGACGGAATTTTCGCATGTAGCTAGAGTTTAGGGCCTACCAATTTGGGTGGTCATCGGATAATATTTAGCGGGTAAAATAGACCATATATTTTGTGTTGAAAAAAATTCAAAAATTTTCATTAAACCGCGAATATTTAAAATCCCGGCGAAATCACGAAACCATGACAAGGTTATTTCTGATCTTTACATTGATGTTAACATCCAACAAATCGGATATATAGCAAAATATGTGCGATATATATGTCTATCAAAGAAGATATGCTTGAAAGATCTCTTATATGTCGAGAACGGCTGAACTGATTTCGACAGTTCTCATTAATTCAGAATGGCCTTTGGCAGGAAAGAAAAAACGTCTAAAAAATCGCATAAAAATATCTCTCTAAAGATGAAAATATTGATTTTGTAAAATTTTCTCATATTTTTTCAATTTTGTCATATTTTTGGCATATTTTCATTTTGAATTAAACATTTGTTAATATTTCTATAGCTAATAAAACTAAGTAGTTAGGATATCAGGATATCATATACAGATCGCATTTATAGCCCGATCTAGACGAAATTTTGGATGGGGATAAGATGAGGGTCAGAATAGAAGCCTACTCTTTTTGGAGATGATCGCCATATATTTAGGGGTTGAAATGGACTAAAAAACTCCAAAATTGTCAGCAGGTCGTAATTATCGCCCGACCCCCACGCACATTTCAATGGGGGTTACTGGACGTTGCAAAAGCCAAGCAGTTTTGGATGGCCATCCAAAAAAATTCAATGTGTGAAATAGTTTGCCAACTTTTGTAGATAAAATACGAAAATGTTCATTCCAGTGACTTTTTGTAGAATTCACAAATACAGGAAAGACGCACTTCTGACTATTTCGTTAACGCTGATTTCGTTGAAGACTATAGTCAAATGCCTGTATCTCATATGGATGCGTTTCAGTCAAAAACCAATAATAAATGTTAATCTTTTGCCACTTCTGAGAGATCATAGGTCTTTGGGAGATATTGGTTCCAGATCTAGGAAGACCATTTACGTGCAACATCTACCAATAAATTAGAAATGAGCAAATTAGTTAAAGTTGCTATTATTCGAAAATTAGAGAATGAAACCTGATGGTTTTCTTTTATTATTTATCACAATATCTTGTGGAATTCTTTCGAGTATCTCGCCTATATAAACTGTATCGTTTATTATAGTGTTGTAGGGTATTCAACGGTCGGCCCCGCTCGACTGTAGCCTTGCTTACTTGTTTTACATTCACTTTAAGATTTTCAAGTATTTTTTCTAATATATAATTTTTATTTTTTTTTTCAATTTTCAGGTTTTTGAAAAACTTGCCAGCTGTCATGTCGTCCTAATTAGAAATAAACTAAAATTCAGTTAAAAAATTACAAACCAAAAAATGCTTGCGAAAGAAAAAGAAAGCCAATAACATTCTAGTTGCCACTTAACTGTGCTGCTCGTCATTCAAGTCATATGTGTGCCTACCTAAATCGAAAACTAGCCGCGGAGAAAAATCAAAGATTTACCGGTGATAGATACAAGCGAACGAGAACAACGAACGTCCAGGTGGAAGACCAAATAACCCACTTTTACAAAATGCAAGAAGTTTGCACAACGCTCGAAAGCCAAATGGGGGCACAAATCAAATCGGAATCACCGTTAACAGCTATGCAAGTGCAGACAGGTCAGACAATATTGCCGGGAGCAACGCCACAGGTGCAGCAGCAGCAGCAACAACAGCATCATCAGCAACAGCAGCAACAACATAATCAAGTGGCAGTAACGGCTGCTGCCATGATTGCAAATAAAATGGGACCAAACTGTGATAAGCGCAATGTTGGACCAGCAGGTGGTCTAGTGCCGGTGGGTGTTGGTGGCAATCCGGAGCCACCATATTGGATGACCGCCTCTGAAGGGGGTTTCATAAACTCCCAGCCCTCAATGGCTGAATTCCTCAATCATTTGAGTCCGGAGAGTCCAAAAATGATGGGTGGCGGGGGTAATGGTAGTGGAGGTGTGACACCCGTTGGTGGTGGCGGCGGATATCCGGTTGGTGTTGGCCTACCACAGACACCAGACGGCATGGATTCAGTGCCCGAATATCCATGGATGAAAGAAAAGAAAACATCACGAAAAAATAGCAACAGCAATAGTCAAGGTGAGTGGAATGCATTAAATATTTAAAGATCTTAAGGATCGAAAGACAGACAAATTGCAAACAAAAGTAGCAACAAAGAACTCTTGGGCTGTTAAGAGTAACAATTTTATTGTTAACATGTCGGGAAACACTCATACACACACAGAAACGGCTAGGTTATGCCCATTTCTGATGCCATTGAGTTCAAACAATGACTGTTGAAGAGCCGCAACGAATTGAAATCTAAAATGCAAAAATCTCATTAATCACTGAAATCAGTGCAATTTGTTTTCGTTTTTTGTTTAGTTTGAGGAATAGAAACACAAGAATCGACGTGAAACGAACATAAAAGGCTAGCGTGTTAATAGGAAGCAAAAAGAGAGGATAATTCGATGGCGCCGTTTTTTTATGTCTTTCTCTTTATTCTTTTTTTTATTGTTTGTTTTTCGATTTGGTATGAACACAGTTCTTTTTGGGACTTCCAATTTTCTATCGAAAATAATACCCTTCTAAGGCCCGATATTGTACCATAAGAAAACGGTCCCTTTTAATGAATTCTATTGGATTTCTTCAAAAACTAGGGCCTGTTTTGTTCTACACTAACTGCGTTTAGAATAGATCTATGGAATATATATATATATATATGTATATATATATATATATATATATATATATATATATATATATATATATATATACGGCCAAACGTGCCTTATCGGTTTTAGACCTTTGGACCAAATCCATTTCAGGGCATTTGGAGTCGATCTAGGGATGTCCGTCCGATAACTCTCGAAGGAATTAATAAATTTGGCACAATCTTTGTACATCCTAATATTATTGTCAAACTTAGATTGAGTTCGGAGATGGGCAATTTCGGTCCACTTTATCAAGTACCTCCGCCACGAAGGGTCCAAATTTGGAATAATTTTTCCGATTGTCTTAAAATCACAATGTTTTTTTTAACCCAAGGTGTGGTGTGAAGATGGAATGTCTCGGTCCACTCCTTCTGGTACCTTCCCTACAAAGGGTCAAAATTTGGAATACCCACGAAGCTCATAAAACGCGAAATTTAAATCAGATTCCATTCAGACTTGGTACATTTCAATATTTCTATCTACACAAGATCTGTTACAAAGGATCAACGTTTCGAATAACCGAAACGATTATAAAATGCGAATTAAGCATCCGGCTCTCTTCATATTTTACACATCCCATTATTTCTACTGACACAAGGTCTGCTGTTAAGATGGGATATATCGGTGCACTCCTTCGGCGATTTTTTTCAAACTTGATATATCCACATAGGGTAAGTGTACCAGTAGTCGGCACTTTTAGGATTTTCGCGTTTTTAATCGCTCTGAGTGGAACTTTTCAATTATTACAAATTTAATTTATTCAGATTCGAAATTTTGTATAGTTTTTGCAATAATAAATAAAGTTTTAATAACTTTTTATTAAATTTCATAAATTTGTACTTTTATTAATACAATGTTTTTTTGCCAGTAGTCGGCACCACTTGCCAATTGGCGGTATGGCATGTTTCAACAGTTGGCAAACCAAATTTTTTGTAAGAATAATTAATAATAATAAGAAATAAATTCATTAAAATATAATATTTTTGTTTAGTTAAACTGATTCGACGTCTTTATTGTACTTTTCTTAAGAATATGGATTGTTGAGGACCTTCACAGACAAACTTTTAATTTTTATTAGAAAAAATCATCTTTTCGTAGCGAAATTGTACACAAAGATAGCTGGCAATAAATTTGAAGTAAACAAAATACATTTAGTTATAATAGTTTCATTTATTTGGGCTTAAAAATAAAAAGTGCCGACTACTGGGACATGCCGAACTTAGGCACACTTACCCTATTTTTCTTAATTCAAGAATAATATTAAGATTGACAATATTCCCAAAAATTAGTTATAGGTGTTAGATTTTCTTCAAATCCAAATATTTTTATCAGTGTTAGATAAGGTGGAGCACTACTAAAAAACATCGAAACGTAGAAAGAAGGCATATGATAGCTTCTCTTCGATGGTTTTTATACCCTTCACCTTGGAAAGGAGGGTATATTAACTTTGTCATTCCATTTGTAACAACCCTAAATATTCGTCGTAGACCCTATATATATTCATAATCAGCATAAAATTTGAAGTCGATTTAACGATGTCCGTCTGTCTGTTGAAATCACGATACAGCACACATTATTGACGTAGAGCGTCAAAATTTAGCAGAACAATTTGTATTGTGTCTAGGATGGTTGGTATTGAAAATGAGATACATCGGTCCACGTTTTGGTATAGTCCCCATATAACGAAACCTCCCGATATTCGGTATTTTGATAGTTTTTGTCACATTTTTCTACGGATTTGTCTGAAAATAGGTATTTGTTGGTCATAATGGGTGGCTGCGGTGGCCACGTTTTGGTATAGTCCCCATATAACGGTACCTACCGATATTCGGTATTTTGATGGTTTTTGTCACATTTTTCTACGGATTTGTCTAAAAATTGGTATTTGTAGGTCATAATGGGTTCTGGCTGCGTTGGCAAAACATTGTATGTATAGGTCCACATTTTGGTATGCTCGTATATAACGGTACCTCCAGATATTCTATTATTGATGATTTTGCCACATTTCTTCGAGGATTTGTCTAAACATTGGTATTTGTGTGTCCTAATGGGTTCTAGCTCCGTTGGCGAAACATTGTACGTATAGATTCACGTTTTTGTATAGCCCCATATAGCGGTACCTCCCAATACTCGATATTTTGATTATTGCCACATTTTCCCACGAATATGTCTACAAATTGGCATTTGTGTGTCATAATGGGTTCTAATGTTTACTTTACGCTCAGGTGGAGGGTATTAAAAGTTCGGCCCGGACGAGCTTAATGTTTTTATACCCTCCACCATACTGTGGAGGGTATATTAATTTTGTCATTCCGTTTGTAACTCCTCGAAATACTCATGTCAGACACAACAAAGTATATATATTCTTGATCAGCGTAAAATTCTAAGTCGATTTAGCGATGTCCGTCTGTCTGTTGTAATCACGCTATCTTTCGAATGAATTGAGATACAAGGCTAAAATTTTGCACACAGGTTTATTTTTAGAGTAGGCAGGTTAAGTTCGTAAATGGGCCATGTAGGTCCACGTTTTCATATAGTCCCCATATAACGGTACCTCCCGATATTCGATATTTTGATGATTTTAGCGACATTATTCACAGGAATTGTTTCAAATTTGGTATTTGAAGTTCGAAATGGATACTACAGCCTAAGACAGAAAATTGTCTGTGCAGGTCCACGTCTTCGTATAGCCCCCATATAACTGTACCTCCCGATATTTGGTATTTTCATGATTTTAGCGACATTATTAATCGGAATTGTTCAAAATTTGGTATTTGAAGTTCGCAATGGATACTACAGCCTAAGACAGAAAGTTGTCTGTTCAGGTCTACGTCTTCGTATAGCCCCCATATAACGGTACCTCCCTATATTCGGTATTTTGGTGATTTTAGCGTCTTTATTTACCAAAATTTTTTCAAATTACGCATTTAGAGTTCGTAATGGAAACTCCAGTCTGTGACAAAAAATTGTCTATGCAGGTCCAGGCCCAAATACCAGTACCTCCCTATATTCGGTATTTTGACGAGTTTAGGTACAATACTCACCGAAGTTGTTTGAAATGTCGTATTTGAAGTTCGTAATGGATGCTACAGAATATGACAAAAAATTGTCTACGCAGGTTCAGGTCTTCTCACAGCTTCAATATAACGGTACCTCCCTATATTCTATACTTTGATGATTTTAGCTACATTATTCGCGTTTATTTCAAGTTCCGAATTTGAATTTGGTAATGACCCATGACAAATAATGCCTGTGTGGGTTCACGTCGTATAGGCACCAATATAACGGCAATATTCGGTATTTTTAAAATTTTACCAAAATTTTTTCAGGATTTTATTTCCAAATTCGTTCCAAATGGTGGAGGGTATTCAAAGTTCGGCCCGGCCGAACTTACTGTCTTTTTAACTTGTTTTTACTTGTTTTATCTGGGTTTTTCTCCATGAAACACCTATAATAGGTCTTCTCTCTATTGAAGACATATTACTCTTTTAGAACAAGGTCATCACTCATCTTTTGAAAATGCTCTTCTAGGTGACATTTTGATGATCCTCGTTTTATTGAAGGGTTTCAAGAAGGGTTCATATTGCAGGTCATATATCTGTTGAAGACTTTTCTTCTTCTCTTTTAGAACAATGTCATCTCTCTACTTTTGAAAATGCTCTTTCAGGTGACGTTTTTAAGATCCTCGATTTATAGAAGGGTTACAAGAGTTTCCAAAAAAAAATAAGGGGTAGAGGATATTCTTTCGAACAACAATAAACTAGTTGGTTGACGTTTTGAAACCCCATCTAAAAAGGGCTATGAATTAGCCTGCTTCTCCACAACCATCGTTTGTTTTACTTGTCTGTAAACCAAAAAAACAGTAGCCATAGGTCATTACAAATTGATATGTACAACTCAGTGGTGCTGGTTAGAGCTGCCACTGCAGATCGTCAATAAACTTTTGTCAACACTTGATGAACAAGTATCCAACAGTGATAGCCGGTTGGTCGGTACAGTTAGGCCAGCTAAACGCCATGTAGGGGGAATCAATTGAAATGCACAGTTGCTGCACAGCAAGTCGTTGCCGCCGTTGCTGATGTCTCTGGGTTGCTCCTTGGGCAAAAGGCAACAACGATGATGATTAATTATGCGGATGCTAGAAATTGTGAATTCCAGTTAATCTCACATCCATACACACACACAAATAGATTCGATCACACAGGCGTGTGGAAACAATCGGTTTCCAAATGAATGTTAAGGGTTTTGGAGAGCTAACAAATTGACTTCGACATGCTTCCATCAAAGTGATGCTCAGATGATGATTTTCTCTCGTTGTTGTTGTTGTTGCTGTTATCGTTCATTTAAGTTTTTTTTTTCAAATAAGAAGCAGCCGATTATTTTTGA